ATTGAGACAACTACTCGGTTGCTCCCGTGCAAGCTCGTGTGTAGATGGATATTGTAGCACGCGGGGACAGTGAGAGTGAGAGAAGCGTTTCCGTTGTTTTTGCGCAGTATTCGAGTTGTACATGGAGAGAAGCCCAGGAAGACCCGACGGACGACCCAAACCCCGACCAGAAGAACCACGATTCTAGGCAAAACACATCACAGCACGGTATCATATCTGGCGCATCATGGAGAGAAGTCAGACGGAAACCCGGATTCGTTTTCCCTCGCGTGCCACGAGGGCGTCAGCTGGATCTGCAGGGGGAACCGTCGTCAGTACGCAAATCGAGGCGGGTAGGTCAGGCGAGAACGCACCTGCACCCGCTCAGAACGTCGAGCCGATGGGGCCGGTCTTGATGTTGGAGAACGTGACGGAAGCGGAGGCCTCGGAGTTCTCGATCGTGGCGGGGATGCCGGAGTTGGCGGGGCAGGGGCCGCGGGAGACGCCGGGGTTGGAGGCGGGCACGTCGGTGGGGTAGGTGCTGTCGAGCCAGAGCATGTTCGCGGCGTGGTCGTCCCAGATGGACATGACGAGCGCCATGCCGCGCTGGAAGGCCTGGCCCATCGTGTTCAGGCCGCCGAGCTGCTCGAACGTGTTCGTGTCGCCGAAGACCTGCTTCTGCGCGTTGCAGAACTCGTCCGTGATCGAGTCGAACGCGCCGAGCCCGGGGACGTTCGTCTTCGAGTTCGCGATCACCTTCCCGTTCTGCACGTACAGCCGCCGGATCTCGGAGAGCTGCCCGGAGGACTGGTTGTTGTTCGTCAGGAACTGCGTCACGACCGTGAACTTCTGGTTCGTGTTGACCGTCTTGCCCGGGCCGAGGAAGGTCTGGTCGCCCATGCGGAACGAGTTGAAGTCGCAGCCGTCCTTGTCGCACAGGCCGTCGTAGCGCTCGTCGCCGTCGCCGCACTGCGTGCCCTCGCACCGCGTCTGGCTCTGGACGGAGCAGACGTGCGGCGTGAACGCCGCGCCGTTCATGTTCGCCTCCCAGACGTCCATCTCGTTGCAGCACGTGCCGAACTGCCCGGAGCCCGCGTTCGGGTCCGACGGCGAGCCCTGCCAGCCCTGGATGTTGGCCTGCACGGTGTGCGTGAGTATATGAGGTCGACAGAGCGTCGGGAAAGGGCACATACCTGGCCGTTGATGAACTTGATGTCCTGCGGGCACTGGGTGTCGCAGTAGCCGGTTCCGTACTTGGCGCCGGCCCTGTTGGACGGGAAGCGGGACTGGCCGCCGTCGGCGTCCATCTCGACGAAGTAGAGCGCGCCGTTGAGGCCGCAGGGGAGGTTCGACATGTCGACGTCGAACGTAAACTCCTGGTTCTTCAGGTTGAACATCTGGTACTGGTGGTCGTTCGCGTCCATGAGGTACACGCGCGAGCCGATGTTCTTCGAGTACGGGCCCTGCGTCACGAACTTGAGCGTGAGCGCGTTTCCGCTCGTGGTGATACCGTAGGTGCCTGTCGGCCGACTCGTCAGTACACGCAAGCACAGCGAACATCGGGCGGGGTCGTACCGGAGTAGTCAGCACCGTCGAGCGCGCAGTTGCGGGCGCAGGTGTCGGGGTCGGGGCAGAGCGAGTCGTCCCAGGTGTTGCCGGTGTAGCAGTTGTTGCTGCCGCTGGTGGAGTGAAGCCAGCGCCAGTTAGAGTCGAGCACGACCGAGTGCTGCTGGGTCTGGCAGTTGTTCTTGCCCGTGCACTGCTGCACGCTCAGGCGGGGGTGGTTCTCCGCCGTGAGGGTGCCGACCTGCTGACCGTAGACGGTCGCAAGGAGAGAGAACGCGAGGAGGGAGACTGCGGGGAACATGGCGATGAGAGGGTGTACCGAGGACGGGTGGTCGAGAGGCGACTGTGGACTCGATGCGGTTTGTCGACAAGTCGGGGCAGCTTTTATAGGAGCCTTCCAGCGGCTGAGGCCTCGATACGAGCCTCGCTGGTTGTCTGAAGGCCCCCACTGCTGCCGGGATGCGCACCATTGAACGCGTTGTCCATCTGGCAGAGACGCACTGCTCGACGCGTCGTCGAAGGCGTTCAAGAGACAGCGGTGCAGCTTGCCGAGAAGGGACCGAGGGGGGCCAAAGCCAAACTGTGGCTACGAAGCACTTCTGCGCGTGCGTCGGTGAGCTGCTGATGTTCACCCAGCCCGAGGAGGTACCGATAATTGGGGCTCCCACAGGCCTCGGGGCCACCTTGCTAAAAATATCTTATATCTTACTGCATAGGCAATCCCCGGAGGAGGTCTCGGAAGCGTGGCCTCTACGCCCGACGAGTAGCCGTCTCTTTCCGTATAGGAGCATGTTAGAGACTTCTTGACGTCCTCGGTTCGTTGTTATCACTCACCGTGGTCCGATAGAGTCTTGAGGATGTACTGAGGCCGGTCCGAGGTGTTCGACCTCCGGGCTGCCAAGCCATCAACGCGGAGAAGGGGACGGATGATATACAACGAAGCGCGTAGGGCGAACAGCGGACCGGGATCTGCAGTACAAATATCGGTGTGGGGCGAGCGGGGCATTTTCCGGAGATGGAAATTGTTGTGGTTCAGATATTCATCGGAAGCGTCATTTTGCTCTCGAAGGATATGCGGGTGGCGACGACTATCCGGCATTAGATCTGTCAGGAACGGGGCCGCGCTTGCTTGCCATGGACGCCAAAGGGGACTGTAGAAGGTAGTAGTCGGGCGCAATGTTGGCAAATTTCGAGGGTTGCAACGTCTGGCAATATTCTTACTTCCCCGAATACCTGGGCAGGGATCTACGTAGTCATCCCAAATGTATCACTAGATATATACTGCACTGGTGTGAGAACAGACTAGGAGTCGTTAGGTATCAGTGACACTCTACTTAAGTTCAAGGATACTCGTACCAACATTCGAACGATGGAAGTATTCGCAATTGTCAGTGGTCCCTTGAGAGAGAAAGTTTGCAATGTCATTGATACCTAACCTACCTACTACCTGTCCAGAAAGTGTGGTAAGCATCGTCACGTCCAGACGAACTTGGGACGCATTCAGTGCTGCAGCTGGCCGTCAGGTGGAAACGTGCCAGGTGCCCTCTCGGGCTGTGCGGTCGACGCATTTGTCTCCATGTCCTGAGGACCGTTCACGGGTTTGCGGTCGATGTCGGTGCTGGAAGAGGTGCATATACCGAGCCCTTGGACATACAACCCACTGCCAATTTGGTGAGCAGCCAATTGACGCGTGTGGCTTGTGCAGGTGATCGGGCCGACGTGACTGACGCAGACGTGACGTTGTGAGCGCTCTACGGCCGCGAGAGAGAGAGAGAGAGAGAGAGAAAGTGCGACGCGTCTCGAGCACGGCGCGGGACTCCGCTGCGGATCACTCCATTCACTCCCCCCCACCCAGGCCAGGACTCGCTCGCCCGCGGCACATACAGCAGCGCACGGACCAGTCGATAGCAACCCATCGCACCCCGACCGTGTCGCACATTGGCAAAAATGTACAGTCTATGCATTATGAACGGCGTATCGTGCTTGTGGAACAACAACGGACTGAACTACTCGTACAACTGACTCGTAACTACTCCTCCTGCAGCGGCATATACAGACACAGTGCAACAAACAGCGATTCGTGATGAGCGCGACCTGCGATTATGAACGTCCTTTTCCCGTGAACCTCCGACCCACAAGCCCTTCCCTCGTCCAGCAGACACGGCGATGAGGGGTGTTTGCGGCACGCCCGTGCGCCGACAGGGAGCCGCCTCACTTCCGCTCCTTCCAGGCGTTATCGACGCCCGCCTTGGAGAACTTCTCCGAGCGCTCGAACAGCGGCGGCGGGTTCACGTCGGGGAGCTCGCCCCCAGGGCCCTTCTGCGTCCCCTTCGCGTCCGCGAGGCCCTGCCCGCCATAGCTGCCCCCGCGCGCGCCCATCTCTCCAGGAGCCTCGCGATACCGCACGGACGCGCTCTCCCCGACACCCGCCTCGTTCCGCGGGACCTTCGTCGTCGTCGCCGGGTGTGCGAGCCCGGGTGCGGTCGACGCGAACTGCGCGCCCTCGGGCACGGGCGCCTCCGTGCGCGTGTAGTGCTGGTACGGGGCGGAGGTAGGGTACGCGCCCGAGGGGACCTCGTACGGCGTGTCGGCGGGGTCAGGCTCGGAGACGACGTAGGTGCGGTGCCCGGCCGAGCTCGTGTACGGGTCCGGGGAGTGGTCGAACTGCTTCTCGTAGAAGCCCCCCGCGGAGGACGTCGACGCGGGCGGGGTCGTCAGCGGCGACTGAGACGTGGAGAGCACGGCGAAGGGGGAGTGGAACGCGCGGGTGGAGGTGGAGGCGGTGGGCACGCTCCGGGTCGCGTTGGACAGCGCGCGGGTGTGTTTCGAGAGTGCGCGGAGGACGGTCGACATCGTGGTTACGGCAGGTATGTGGACGGTGGTGGTGGTGGTGGTACGTGCGAAGCGGGCAAAGGCAGTTGCGGATGCGGATGCAGATGCGGGTGACTGAGGGCGATAAGTCGGAGGGCGGGAGAACACGAGCTGGTGCAATATAGGGGCCGGGGTGGGGTTTTTGGGGAGCGGCCCACGCAGCGCGTTCTCACGAATTACGGGCGACCGTCAGGCGGTCTGGGTGGGGTCACCGCTATAATAGGCTCGGCAGCTGCCAGCTGGGCCCGCCCGCCCTCGTACCATCTCCCAGAGGACCGCGGCGACGCGTCCACGTAGCCGAATATCAATATGTAGTCGCTTCTTCTCATGTTTCAGACAGCTTGGGGATCCCCAAGCATTTCTCGCTGCGCGCCCGAGCGTGGGCGCGTCGATGAACGACTGGGAGGGTGGGCCGGTATGGCAGGAGCACTTACCCCGCATTACGGGCAGGGTGGCAGCAGCTCTGATGCATTCTCGATCGTCGCTGGTGAAGGAAGAACGTTCTGCGCGGAACGTTGCAACAAACGTTTGTCGCTGCATCCGATGCTACCTTCATATATCAATTTATGAGAGAGCATCGTCAGCCTTCGATAGCTCAGTTGGAAGAGCGTGAGACTGTAATGGTTACACCCGCTTCATTCGCGAGGATGGCGGCGCGATCTCAAGGTCACTGGTTCGATCCCGGTTCGAAGGAATACCGAGCCTTGCGTTCTAGTTTTTATTTCTACGCAGGTCATCCGATCTAGGACCAGATGCTCGTCGGCGAGCACTTCCCATTTGTTTTCTGACATCTCACGGACGGATATCTGAGAGGCGATGGGGGTGTGGTGCTCTATTCACGAGCGGCCGACGGGCGTAACTACCTACACACAGGTCCTACTGGTACAAGCGAATAAACAATAGACGAACGACAGCCCAGAGCGAAAGCAAAACGAGGGTGTGCACGGTCTACTAAGCCAAGAGAACCGAACCGAACCGAACCGGAACTTGATAATAAGGCGCGACGGTCCGCCAGAGATGTACGGTAGATCGTCCCCTTCCTCCGTCCTCCCTTCTCTTCCCACCCTTCTCTTGCACACTTACCTTCCTAGTCTGCTTGGAGACATGCTGAGGATTCACGACGAAGCCTGCGCCTCCTCCTCCTTAGCCCGCTTCGCCTCCGCCTTCGCCCGCTCAGCGTCCCGCTTCGCGCGTGCGGCGGCGCGTTCCGCCTCCCACCGACTGAGCTCCTCGCGGAGCTTCGCGACGCGGACCTGCTGCACGGGGTGCGTCTCGCCCATGAGCCGGCGCGGGAGCGACACCGCGTCGCCGCTCACGGCGGACGCGGCGGTCTCCTCTGCGCGCGCGGGCGAGCACTCAGCCGTCTTTGGCGAGTCCTGGCGCGACTCCCAGAAACGGGCTGCTTCGCGCGGATCGAAGCCGGCGTGGGCGAGTATCCTACAAGGAGAATGAGTGAGTGGAAGCCAGAGGGGTGGAGATATAGGAGAGGTCATTACCTTGCGGAGACGACGTCCGCTTCGACTTCTTGTTTCTGACTGGTGCAGTACTCCTGCAGCTGCGAGAACTCGCCTGCGCTGGCCTTGCCCACGCCCGCTAGTGCGTCGTTGATGAAAGGGCCAACTACAACAAGTACATCAGTATTCGTATCGTCAGGTTGTCGTTGGGAATCTCACAGAGCATGGTGATCGGGAAGAGGAACGCGCGGACAGCGTCCGTCACGATCGAAAGCACGCTGGGCCACACGATCGACCCAGACGACAACGTCTCGATATGATGCGAGAGCACCAAATGCGCCAGCTCGTGCGCCAACAACGTCGCCAGCTCCGCCGTCTGCTGCTCCGTCGGGACGGGGTGCGGCGGCGGGCGCGGGCCCAAGCCAAACAGCCGCGCGAGCCACGACTGCGGCTCGGGCGGGGGCGGCTGGGCGGGGTTCTTCGCGAGGACCTCGTCGAGGAAGCCGGAGAAGACGACGATGCCGCCGCCGCCGTCGGGCCCGAAGCCGTACGAGAACGCGTTGGACGCGTCCGGGCGGTCGATCACGAGCAGCGAGTACGGCGGCCCGGCGATGACGTGCGGCGCGGGCGGGCACGTCCGCGCGCAGGTCATCTCTGCGAACCGCCGCAGGGACTCGGACGCGCGCGGCCGCGGGCGCAGGGGGTACTCCGCGGGCGGGGGGAGCGGGATGTCGTCCGGGCCGCAGTCGATCCATTGCGGGCACAGCTCGTCTTCGCGTGCGAGGACGGGGATGGCGCTCTCGAGGCGGCGCAGCGTGCTCCGCACCCACTCGAGGCGCCAGTCGTTTGGAGGGATAATGGTGGGTGTCCCGCCTGCGGAGAGGATCTCCCCTACGGCGCGGTACCATCCCGGGCCTGCGAGCTGCGCAGCGATGTCATCTTCTTCCTCCGGAGAAAGTAGGATGATCCTCCACCTGCGTACGTGTCCGTTAGCTATCGCGGTTCCTGAGGGAGTAGTCCGAGCCCCAAACAAACTATTCACCTGCCCGTTAGCGGTGTGCGTTCCAAACTCGCCAGTATAGTCGCCCAAAAGATGATGATAGGGACAAATATGAGGATGTGGAACATCACCGTGCGCTGTCGGATCCGCTTCACCATGATCTCCCTCTTCTCCACGAGGTCCGGGATCTTGTGCTCATCCGCAATACGGATGAGCTTCTTCGTGCGGAGGTTCTTGAGGAGCAGCAGGGGGACAAAGGTGAGGCCTATCCGCGCGGCCATCCGCGCGACCTCGAGCGCCGTCGACGTCTTGCGATCAATGAAGCAGATCGGAGGAGGTCAGTACCTGGTTCGGAGTGCGGGGAAGATGGACGGTTATATGCTCACTTTCAGCAGCCCGGCCAGCAGCGGTAGGGGATTGATTTCATTCCTCTTAGAAGCGTGAAACGCCCTTGTTCCTCCAATCGCAATCGCTGGCAAATACGACGACGCCGTAGAGGGTCTCCCAGGGAGGGGTGAATGTCGAGAAAGTAGCGGTGTATTGGGACTCCTAAGTCCATGGCCGGCACGGTATCCTGTTGAGGTGACTCGACACGAGCTCCATGGTGCTTGGCTTCGAGTATACGCCGATAGATGGCGAGCACCAAGGGGAGGCTTGGAGACGACCAAGGGTGTAACAGCGGGTGGTGTCCTAGCCCATCCTGGCCGACCACGCACAGAGAGGGAGCGGGAGGCAGGCGGGGGCGTGGCGGAGGCTGCTGCGCGTAGCACTGACCGCAACATAGCACATCGTTGGGCGCATGCAAGGGCTGGGGAGAGTAGAAGAAAGGGAGGGATGGCCCCTGGCGGACCCGACGGCCGGGGGCGAATGCATCGCTCGCGTCTCGATCTCCGACTCACCGTGCCAGATTGACGCGCCAGCGAGTGCTGTGCGCGGCATCGCTCACCGTCCAGCTGAGCTCAGCACCTGCCGTAAGCCCTCCGCGCGACCCGCGCGACCTCCCTCTCGACGTCCTCGATCGCCGACCAATCGTTTATCCGCCCCTCCTCGGTCGTCGTCTCGCATGGTGAACATCGAACAGCGTGCGTTGTATATGAGCGTACACTACGTCCTCATCCAAGCATCCTCTCCCCTCTGGTATACTCTAGCCGATCAGGAGATAAACGTAGCCTCGTTGTACAGCGTGCCCTCCACCTCCACCTTATCAGAGACACCTGGAATGATCCCAGCGGGGAGATTGACGTGCAGCGTCGTCGGGTTCTGCCACTGCGATCAGACCAACCGTTAGCCTACCCCCACCCCGTCGCAATTAAACAATCCGGGCACCAACCTGGTAGATATATGGCTTCGTGCCCGCCACATAGTTCACCATCGTCTTGATCACGTACGGGATCTCCGCCAGTACGTCCACCTTCTCGATCAAACCCTTGTAGGCGTCCGGCGTCCCGACATCTACGGCGAGCGTCGCGTCTATTGGCCCTTGTGCGTCAGGCAGCAGGGACGGTGCCGCCCAGCGGAAGGTGAGCTCTGCGGGCGCATCGTATCCAGTCTCTGGGTCGCGCGCCTTCTTCGAGTGGACCGCGCGCGAGATGATCCCGCCCTGCGCGTACTCCTCATCCGGCCACTTTGTCTCCGCCGTCACCGCGGCAAGCTTCCCCCCGAGCACGAGGCCACCCACGCTCACCGTGACGAAGCCGGAGCCGCTTCCCTTGCGCCCGTACGCGTCGGTGGTAGTAAAGTCCATCTGAACTGCAGACACGCCGCCGTGCTGCTCGCTCTGGAAGCACGCAAAGTTCCAGCGGGACGCGGTCAAGTTCGGGCGCATGCCCTGGATGGCGTGCACGAACATGCCCGGGCCGTTGACGGTGATCGCCTGGCCCTTGTGCACGAGCATGCCCGTCGCGTGTGTCCGCGGCCAGAAGCGGTGGACCATGTACCCCTCAGGGTTCTTCAGGTCGGGGCCATAGTACGAAAAGCCGCCCTTGGGCCCCTTTCCGACCTTGAAGCCGGGAATGCTCGCGGAGCGGCTGATGTCGAGCGTGATCTGCAGATCGTCGCCGAGGTTCGCGGTGAGGAGGTACGACTCGGGCGTGTCCGAGCCAGGCTTGGACTTGTGCGTGATGGAGAACTGGTCCGCCTTGCTCGACCGCTTGTCGAGCCCGGGAGGGGGTGTAACGAAGTTGGTGACATTGATGGACTTCCACGTCCGCTCCTTGGTGTTCGGGTTGTAGATCTTGCTCGTGAACTGGATGGTGGGGTACCACACGCTGGGATCGCGCGCGGGACGGAGGCCCTCTCCCGTAAGGCGCCAGTGGTAGCGAATATCAAGATCGGCACTCACCCTACCGCCGAATGGATAACTTGGCACATCAGGGAAGTGCCATCCTCGAGGAAGTGGTAGAACGTCTGGGTCTCGACCGCGAAGCCGCCAGGGCAGGACCACTCCGTGTCCTTCGGCTCGAGCTCGCCAAAGAGCTCCTCGGGCTTGTACGCGGACGAGACGGGGTGGAAGTTGGGCGCATGGGGGTCGACGGGGGCGGACGCGCTGGGGGACTGTGAGGAGTGCTCTCCGCACGCGGACGCTGGCGCGACTCACGAGAATAGGTTGAACATGGTGGTTGCGAGTCGACCTGCACGATCAGAGCCGCGACTCTCCGCTGCCCCCGCCGCTGGTTATAGTCTTACCACTGCCGCTTCACGTAATAAGCCCCTCCCTCTGCCCGTCCCGATATGGCAATTTGTACAAGGTTCAGTCTCACCGCCACCATCGTGCTCCCCTTCTCCCTTTCTCCGTCTGCACCTCGCGCGACCGGTTTCCACCGACCGGCCTACGTGTGAGCGCGACGGCAGCGGCCCTGACCACGATGGTCATGCCGCAGCTTCCACCACTCAAGTACTGCGCGTCGGTTACGCGCAAATGAAGCCGCGTAGTCGCGCACGCAGTTCAACACGTTCTGCTGGTACTTGACATCAAACACGGCGCAGTTCAAGGCTCGTATTTATCGATCAATGAGAAGCACATGCTATCTCAAATGATTCAATCATACCGCGGGCGAGCCTTGCTAGGAATCACGGCCCCGGGTTGGGTGCGAAGACGACTCGTACAAGCAATCCTTGAGCAAAGGATGTATGTTACATTACACACAAAAGTCCAATTACCTCAGTACATCGGCGCGACCCTACCCGACTTTAACTTCACCGGGTCCCACTCGCACTCGCGTACACTCGACCCCGAGCCCT